ATATTACAATTGCAGATTAAATAGGGGCCAGAATAGCCGACTAGGAACAATATATATATAGGGTTGGAATCTGGTGAGAATGACTCTTAATGCGAGAAATAAGAATACATCACAATCATCGAATTAACGATCTAACGGATACCAAAAATCCAACATTTATTTATTCATTAAGGATATTTTGGACATTTTAATTATCAAACTGTGGGACCTATGACAACTAACACTTATTCACATCCAATGATATACTGCCACGTGGCCATTAATACATCACACATCTCACACACTCTTATCTCTCACACACTCACACACATTGACCATTGAACACACATAATAACACACACATTTACACACGCAGACGCAGCACACACAAAATAACACACACATCCACGCGACACACTCCAACACACATATCGCCGGCGAGAGCAAACTTACAACGCCGCCGCTGGCGGTCACACACACCGTTGACCATCATGTTCACAGCTGCCACCGCTGCTCCGCCCCGCCATCGCCGCCGTCGCACCTTAACCGCCGTCGCACTTCCTGTGAGTCTCCTCCGACTTCTCTGCCATCGCCGACCGTCTCAGTTTGTCTCCGACGACATTCCAACCGTGGCCAACCTTCGATTCCTCTCAAGACAGAACTCCGTCGTTGCCCTAATTTCATCTCCGGCGACCTCCCATCCGCCAGTCATCTCCGGCGACCTCCATCGCCGGACGCTCCGCCACCTCCTGGAGCTTGAACGATGCCATAGGCGATGTGAGAGGGGGTGATACGAGCTGCATAAGATCTGAAATTAGATTTTGGGTTTGGGCCTCTTTTTTGAGAATTAGGTTATGTCTAAGGGTCTATTTGCAATTTTAACAATTTTAAGTATATTTCAATTTGACACATGGATTAAATATGTAATTATTGAAAGTTAATAAAAAATTATTTTTATATACTTTGTTATGCATATATATTAAATAATAAATAAATTATTAAATAAAAATAAAGTAAAAAACTAAAATAATATAAAAATATTTTGTAATAATAAATAAATTATATAATTAAAATAATAATTAAAGATATTTTAATTATTTAAATTAATTCAATGTACAATTATATATAATAAAACTAGTTTTCGAATACACATATTTAAGGTATACATTAGTGCACTTTATATTGGGGAGTGTTGCACTTTATAAGACAACAGGTTATCAACACGCTCCACAATTAATGTCTAACAGCTCCCGCCAAAATATTACGCAATAAAAATCTAAAAGACGGATTACATAATACTTTAATATCAATCACATCATCTATCCAGAAAAAAACACACAAGCACTAATGTACAAAAATTTAAGTATTGCACTATATATATCAATACATTGCACTTTATACAGCAATACGTTGCACCTTATAACACAGAATGTTGCACCTTATAAAATGACACATTTCACGTACCAAAAATACGGTAATTATAATATTTGTTGGTTCGATTAATATTATTTTGTCATTAAAATTTTAGTTATTTCGGTACGATATAACCTTTATTTTTTGAAATAATCGCAATAATCGAATCGACCAACCTATATAAAAATATTATTTTTTATATTTTTCAATCAGAAAAAATATATGAAATGTTAGATAAAAATATTAAAAAACTAAATATGATTTTCTAATATAAATAATATTTTAATCCAATTATTCTGGTTTATTTGATTAATCCAACGATATATATAGTTGCACTTTATAAAATATCAAGTTGCACTTTACAGAACACCACGTTACACTTTAACGCTGTCAGATTGCACCATATAAATCAGAACCAACCGAACTCGAATTTTTTTATGCCTGAAATAATATAAAAATAAAAAATAAAATTATTAACATATTAAATATAATCTTGATATAAATAAAAAATTATTTCGATTATTTGGATTACCTAAACCGAAAATATTAATTAATTATGTTCATTTTCAATTTGACTCGAGACAAGCGTTCGGTTGGTTCGATATGTACAATACAGACCAACACCGTGCACTATAATATTGGACGAATTGCACTTTAATAACTGTTAGATTGCACTGTATATTTTATGTACGTATATAATTATTTTTCTAATCAAATCATAATATAAAAATATTAATTAAAAAAATAAAATGGTAGTAATAAATTTTATGAAAATTTAAATTGAATAACCATACATATATTGTTAAAATTATTTATCAACATTCTATATTTAATATATTTTTAGTAAAATATATAATTGAGCAACAATTATATTCTAATCAATTCTTCAAATAAACAATCCCAGCAAGTTACTATTTCAATTATAGTTTTAAAAATTAAAAATTAGCCCCTATAGTGTGTCTAATCTACATAAAAAAACCTCACAAATCCCATTCAAAATTCTGAACTGAACAAATAAATCCACAATCTTGATTTTTTTTTTTTTTCGGCCGTCCACTCCTTCAGCAAACCAGCGGCGTCGATTCGCACACAACACGCAGCCGCCGCCGAACCGCCGCCGCCGTCGAGCTGCGTCGCTGCAGTTCGCCGCTTCATAGCAGACACGACTCTTCGTCTTCCTCCGCCGCCGCCTTGCATAGCCTTCGTCCACCGGCTCGCCGCCTCGTATCTGTCAGTCGGCTCGACGGCTCGTCTCCGTCCACAAGGACGTATCTTCCTCTCCGTCCATCACTGCGTCGCAATGCCGTCGTCCGTTGCCGCGTCGCTTCAGTTCTGTCGCCGCCGTGTCGCTTCACCCCCGTCAGTCACTGCCTTTGGTCGGAGAGTGTGTGTGTGTGTGCATTTTTTGTATGTGTGTAGGTGTGTGTGTGTGTGTGTGTGCTGCGTGTGGGTAAAGTTTATGTAAGTGTGTGTTAGTGTGAGAGAGAGAGTGGGGAGTTGTTAATGAAGGGGTGGGCTCCACGTGGTGTTGGTTAGATGATTGTATTTTAAAGACCAATTTGTCCTTATTTAGTGTTCAAAAGTAAATATTTGACCAAAGATTATACACTTATTTACAAAACTGCCATTCATGTTTGACTGCCATATTTAATATTTGACTTAATCAAGACCATTGATATGTCTAGACTAATTCTCATTTCTCGCAATAAGAGTCATTTTCATATGATCCTTTCCCTCTATATATATATATATATAGATTGGCAGTAATATTTTTATATCCCCTTAGTAATGAAAGTATAAAAGTAGATGAACGTGCCTTTGGTTATTAAGGATTGGTTCTTAATAACATATATATGTATATAAGACGAAAATGCTACTGTCCCGTTACGGAACCATTCCGTAGGGGTTTTAACCGTTAGATCATCATGTAATCGTCGAGGATAGTTTATCTACAGTTACAAATCCCCACGAAATGATTTCGCAACGGGTCCGTAGCATCTCCTTATATAAGAAAAATACCAAATATATCTAGTTCTAATAGATGTTACTAGAGTGGTGTATCATGTAACCTAGTCGAATGAGTCAACTGAAGGACTCTTTTAGCATTACTAAAAAGTAAAGAGTGAATTGGTTAGAACCGTCCTAAGTGGCCAAGTTTCAATAGTTTGTTTTTTTTTTTTTTTTTTNTTTTTACATAGATTTGGAACATATATATATTCTGTATTATTAGCTTTTGATTTTTTTATCGTATGATACATTTTGTAGATTTTCATTACATTTAATTAAGTTTCTTTGATGATTATAACATTTGTTATTCTTATCAATTTCAGTTAGTTTGCTAGTAAATAAGTCGACTTACTTTTCTCACAAACTGTATATTACATTTATTTAATTAAATTGTCATACTTTAAAAAATTACATAAATAGAAGCACTATATATATGTTTGCTAATGTACATATATGCATTTTTATTCACGTGGTATATTAAAGTATGACGGGTTTGACTTAGGCTACCTCATACAAAAATTGTGAGGTTAATTAATTGGATGAACCAACATCTTGATATATAGTTTGAGATTTGATATGATATATATGATTATATATTTATTAATTATTGATACTTACAGAATAAATTAAAATAGAATCTGCATGAAATATCAATGCATTTGTCCAACTTTGGTTAATCGCAGCCACATGCACAAGCACAACACGTTGCATTCATGAGACATCATATTACAGAAATTAAGAGTACGTACTTGATAAATATATATAATTTAGGCATCAATAATATAGTATTATTGGTGAAGTGAAGGCAACAATCAAGAGCTATGGCCCGCATACGCCCGGATTGATTGGTGAGGTGTGCAGATTAGGGTTGTTTGCTAAATTGAAGTACCTGCACAACAATATAATTGTAAACCAAAATTAATGTTTTAACTTAATACCACACGTATACATAAATACAGTTTTGCTATGGAGCCATCGGATGGCTCGGCTTATGGAGCCATCCACACTTATTCACCAATAGTGTATTGACACGTGTCCTGCAATAAATACACTTTGGACATGTGTCAATACATTAAGTGGTGGATGGCTCCATAAGAAAACCATCTGATGGCTCCATTGAATTTTTGTACATAAATAATGTGCATGTGTATTCACTATTCATAGACAATTCTCACCGATTATCTAGCGAGCCGTTCATGATGAGATTTGAGATTGCATCGACCGGTTCACAACCGACCAAGTCGTTATCATTCAGCAGACTATATAACCTCGCAAAGACACAACAGCACAATATAATTATGCATGTTCTCTATGTATATATAGTCAAAATTAATGAGAATGAAATTGCGGTAGCATTGCTCACAGAGTTGTCAAATTCAACAATTTGCCAATTGCCCACGGAATAACGTCATTCAAATTATTATGGGACAGATCCAAAGTTACCAACTCATTCAAGTCTCCAATTTCTGGTGGTATGCTCCCAGTAATTCCGCTCTTGCTCATATTCCTATCCGCCTCGGTAAACGAAAAATCAATAAAAATAGTGTAGTTTGTGCGAGTCAATCTGATTATATATAATTCAACACCGAATATATAAATTAGTTGCAGATGATCAGAAATGACTGCAGACATGAACAATTATATATAATTTGCATATATGTGTGTTAATTACGGTTAAGATTTCAATCTATTATGACAAATATCTAATATTTGAGCAAGGAATAATATTGATCGGGATACATTAGTCATTCAAAGTGTACGACTGATCACGAACTAGGTCGACCGACAAATCATCATCCCAAAAATACAGATTTAGATATTAATTTGACAAAAAAAAAAAAANTGACAAAAAAAAAAAAAAAATTGTCACATGTTACAACTGGATCACACTCAAGATTTTCAATTCTTAATTATATATACCACTCTCTAATAATCTAAGTCATTAATGAAAAGAATTATTCTCCAGAAAAGACGGCATCTAACAATATGATGAGGAAAGAAAATTGTTGGAATATCATTTGTGAGTCCGTCCTACATTACTTTGATAAAGTAAATTAAAAAAAAATTGCACCATTCGTCCACTAATTAAACCTGAATAGCACTTTCGTCATTTAATTATTTTTTTTACTTTTGGTACACTATCATTTTTTTGGCAATTTTCGTCAAAATCGAAGTTCCGGTGCTCATTTTTGCAGGAAAGTTGATGTGGCACCCAATCGGATTGTGCACCACATCAACTTTTCCTGCAAAAATGATCACCAGAACCTCAATTTGGACGAAAATTGCCAAAAAAAAAAATGATAGTGTACTAAAAGTAAAAAAAAAATAATAATAATTAAAGGACGAAAGTGCAACTCGGGTATAATTAGTGGACGAATGTTGCAATTTTTTCGGTAAATTAGCATAGTTTATAAGCCCAGTAGGCTACTTCTTCCATCACCAATTGATTTTAGGATGGAACCTCACTAAGGTGCACCTAAGCTCACCCTCTTATAGTGCGATCCATCTGGTAAGACCTCACTCTCTTTTCCCAATTATCAAAATTTGACAAAAATTTATTTGATTGGCTAATTAAGGTAAGAGTACCATATATATTTATGAAAAAAAAAAAAAGAATGTTGCATACAAAGATTGCAAGGTCTTCAACTTCCCAATCTCTCCTGCCAATCGACCACCTATTTCGCTACCCCCCAATTCACTGACAACAAAAAACAATGAATATGAATTTCAATCAGCATTATTTGGGTTAGCTAAGTAACGCTCAATATATATGTCAAGTCATATTCTTACAGCTTTCTTATTACAAAATCCTCGGAATCATTGTCGTCGCAGTGGACAGTAGTCCAATCACAAGGGTTGGTACTACGGTTCCAGTTCAATAAAAGACCCATACGATCATTTAATTGTTCCTTAATGGCAAGCAAAGCATCAACTAATCAAACAAAAACATTGGAAATTCAGACGTAGAAAACATCAATATCATTTTTATGCACAACCAAGTAAATTGGAATATGTACCAATTTTCTATCAACTTCGTCGTGCAAGCTATGTGGACAACTTCGGTTCTGCAGTTAGTTAATTTATGTAATCTATCATTATATAAAAAGAATAACCTTTTTATAAATTTAGAAAACTTTTTTCCGCAAAAATTATTAAATATGTCCTACATATTAGTAATTGTTGAACAAATCTATATAGGCAAAAAAATCGGCTCATTAATTGTGTAAAGATTTGTTTCTCTTTTTCCTGTTTTTTAGTTCATCAAAACCGTTGTTTGACAATAAATATGTGTTTTTCTTTTTCCTATTTTTAGTATAAATCTACACAAGCTTATCTTTTCTGTTACAAAATCCCATTGCATACGTCTCACATTGATAGGTCGAAAAATGTGCACGTTTTATATATATAATAGTGTATTTTTATACACTATATTTATTTGCACGTTTATATGTTTTGACTTATTTATTATTTGGATGGATTCATACACATTGATATTTTTATATTTATTTTCAGCTCATTGTAGTATTTTATGGACGCGAAACATTAGACGGATGTTCACACAGTCAAATCGGAATGTCCCAAACTAGGACAATTCAGGCCCAGAGTCCAAATTAATAAATGGAAGACAAATTAATATTAGTATGGATTGCCAAAAAAAGTCACGTGGGCTGTAGATTTTGGAAAATAAGGCATTCAGCCACTTTAGTTATCATTCATGGGAAATAGTTGGATTCGGGCCCATTTTGAAGTGAATTTGGAAGAATTTTAATTTCCTGGGAGACTCACGCGAATTGGGGAAGATTTATTTGCCTGGGAATTATTTGCGCAAGGGAACATTATTTTTACGAGGAAAAAAAGCCGTGAGAGGGAGGCGTACAGAAAAGAAGAAATAGAAAGAACAGAAAGCAACACACGCACAGACTGAAGGCGAGAGACACACGCGCGGAGGGAAGCCGCGTTCGCACACGAGGGAGATAACTAATCTCTCTCTTCTATCTAGTATTTATTTTTATTAATATGTTAGGCTAGTATTTTTATCCAGTTTGAGGGATGTTTGAACCCTAACTTTAATTTGTCTATGAATTGAAGGATTTATTTTTATCGTTGGTTAATTAAGACGTCGTATTTATTTTTGTTGATGAATTGATTCATGCTATCTGTATTTAATGTTTATGAATTATGAGTATTTGATTTAGTTTGGCCAGCTACGTTGAATGTTCATAGTTTAATTGTTAGATTCGGGTCTTTAATCCGTAATTGTTATTGTCTCGTTTCGGTAGTAGTAAACAGGGGTCGTGCATCTCTAGGGTAGCCTGAACATAAGTTAAATGGTCCGAACTTTTGCGTCCATTACTTAGACTTATCTATTTTCCTAGAGATTAATGCTGCTACTGAATTAAATCTAGAGAACTTATTCTAGGTTGTCCGCTAGTTAGGTTTAGTAGAAGAGCTTATTTCGATTAAATAACCGGTAAGGGAATATTCGGTTAACAGAGCTTGTTGTTAGCTAGGGTTAGTAATTCGTTAGCAATTTAAAGAAGGCGTCGAAATTAATTAACGGTAGATTTAGATTGAGTGATAACTGGACTTCTCTTATTTTATTTGATTATTTTTATTTTTATTTTTATAAAATCAATCCCCCCATCTTTATTTGCTTTCGTAGTTTAGTTCAATTAATACGAGAACTGTCACAATTTAATTCATATTTCTCGTGGGATCGACCCTTACTCGCCGCTACTACTCGGTAGTAGAGGTAAGTTAGGAAAATTGATAAATTTAAATTTGTCGTGTAACAACGCGCGGTCACACGTAGAAACCAATTCATAATTACTACTAGAAATCCATTATCTTTAAAAAGAAAAAATAAAATAAAATAGAAACCAATTCATAATTACTACTCAAAATCCATTATCTACTTTAAGAAGCTAATTTTCATCGGTCTAATTACTAATATTTTTACAAATATTATAAGCTAACCATATAAAAAAGTGTAACAATAATTTTGAAATGGTGTGTAATCAAATTTTTTTATATTCTCTTATACAAAAGAATTTTACATTGTTTGACCCCGAATCTTTAATTTATAAGTTGACCCCGAATCTTTAATTTATAATTATTAAGTATTGTTTATCTTCCTCATTAATTTATAATTATTTTTTTTTCTCTTTTTAAATATGATCAATAGTAGTTTCCACTTCCGCCATTGAGTGACTCAAACTCGAAGTCTATTTATAATATTATTAATTTAATATTGTTCTCGTGCATCGCACGGGGTACACACTAGTAATTATGAACTGGCGAAAAATTTGTTTCTAAAGTTTATTCTCTAATAGAATATTTGTTAGATTTTTCAACGGAAATCATGACATTCAAGTATTCATTGGAATTTATTTAGGTTGATTTTTTATTTTTCTTTTGAAATATGGTAACTTTTTCAATTAACGAGGGGTCATATTTTCTCAACTTTTTTTTACTTAATTTAATATGCAAATAATCAATTATTAGTAGAGTACAACACCTATGTATTATATGGGTTTTAATTAAAAAGTTACATTTAAATTTAAATTGATGATTAATTCAATACACCAAAAAACTGATGACAAATTCATAAATTATTAACTTTTAATATTGGATTACAATTGCATCAGTTCTAGAAACTGGACATTTATATTCAGCAGTTTTGTTATGGAGCCATCGTATTCACCAATAATGTATTGACACGTGTCCTGCAATAAATACACTTTGGACATGCGTCATATACATTAAGTGGTGGATGGCTCCATAAGAAAATCATTTGATGGCTTCATAGAATTTTTGTTATATTCACAGATATTATTGGATATGTAGTAGTGTTTTATCACCTGTGTATTATATGGGTGTTACTTAAAAATTCAATACTTAAAGAATTAACAATTAATAGAATATTTAGTTTAAAATTTTAAATACTTTCTAAAAACATGTTTTTNAAATTTTCCCTTCCTATGTTATAATGATTATTTCTGACTCATATCATATAACAAACTTGATGGATAAATTTAATTCATAATTAATATTTCTATTAGTTTTCAATGTTAGGATACATTGTGTAATTTAATTGATGGATAAATTTAATTATAGCTATTTTAAATCTTCCTTTTCTTCCTCCTGAAGCTGGCGACAACTCCTTCCTGCCCCTAGGCCTAGGCATTGCTTTCCAATCTAATTAATATTTTTATTAGTTTCCAATTAAGATATATTATCTAATTTAATTTTTATTTATAAAGGTACATAGAATTTTTTTAATATATCCCATGCTTTCCAATCTAACTAATATTTTTATTAGTTTCCAATTAGGATATGTTATGTAATTTAATTTTTATTTATAAAGGTACATATAAATTTTATAATATATCCGATATGGATATTGAATCGAACATCTTCGTAAGTTGATTAGTTTGATTGATCATATATAAAAATGGTAACAAATAAAATATAAATCACTAAATTTTTAAATATATTTATAATTTAAGTTGATCAAATATTTTATAATTTAACAGTCATAACATAATTAATAAAATTCTAAGCCTACATGGACTATTCCTAAGCACCACATATAATTATGACGAACTAAGTATTAACACATATAATTATAAAGTACTAAAATTTAACACGTAAGTCCAAAAAACGCTACAATGTTTAAATATACGAGAAAGATTTAGAGATTATATTTAAATATTCAGTGTTCATAAGAATATTTTATTTTATATAAACCACCAGATTTATTTTTTTTCTTCAAATTTGCTTTGGTATTTTATATAAACTATAGACAATTAAATGATGTAAATAAAATAATAGCATGAGGTGGTAGATGAATAGAAATAACTTTAGCATAAAAGGATTACAAACCTTCGCTCTGTGTATAGCTATAAGCGCCTTTAAGAGGATTCAAAATTACGAAGATTAACCACACTATTGACCTCCCTCCAATTTTGTCCATCATCTTCTCCAACACTAAACTACATATATATGTATTAACGGAGGAAGGAATATTAATTAATGTAGATTTATAATTTCTAACCCGTGTTTATAGTGTCGAATAAACCACCCCAAGCAAAAATTGTCAAATAGACTTATTGACTTTCATTTGCTCACACTGTTGACTTTCATAATTTGTCAAATCTTTGTTGCGACTACTCCAGATTTGGCCAATTATATTACCTTTTGCTTGAAAGATGAATTTCATTCACACTCACCCACCTAAATATGCAGGCTTTTGGACTTTACCTATTAAATTAAATTTCATAACGCGTTGTCTATATAAACTTCAAGAGAATTCTCAATTAGCCTATACTCGATTGTTGACGAATGTTTAAGTCTATAATGGACTTTTTCACTCCATGTTAGATTAAATTATTTCTTAGAAGCGTCAATTATCATGTTTAAGACAATCATAGTATCCCAAAAGTTCAATCAAATCAAATGCAAAACAATTTGTGGACTTCAAAAAGACAAAAACCTAATGTTAAAATCCAGCTACATTTTCGTGAAAATTGTGACTAACGAGTTCGAAAAAACACGAAAGATGTTAGTTATATATTAGTTATATTATGTATTGTAAGGCTAGATTAGATTAAGGCCCAACATAACTAAGGCTCATATTTTGTCTTTATATACATATACATAACTTTGTGATTAATACATCAGATTTTTTTTCCACATTCTCACAAAAGTGTGAAGCAGTGGTTATAAAGATATGGTCTTTTTTTTTTAAAACAAATTTATAAGTATTTGGTTTTATCTAATATTTTTTATTTTCGTTTTGCTGTCTTGATGATTTCTAATATACTTTGGGGTCAAATTTAGATTATGATGTGCTGTAAATGTATTGTGCGGGTGACTTCGTATGAGGGATTCTTGACTTTAGTCATTGGTTTTTACTATTTATGGAGAAAATTGTTTGTTTTGTTTTCTTTATGTTTTTTGTCCCAAATATTTTTTTGTTGGAATTGTGGATCGTCACCCGCGGAAAATCTTTTTTAAAAATGTATTAACTGAGGAAAGGATATTATTTGTAGTTGTTGTGGAGATCTTTATAGTTTTAACCCGTTTTTATAAACCCGGATAAACCACCTCACGCAAATATTATTAACTTTCCAAATCCTAGTTGCGACTACTCCAGTTTTGGTTACTTATGTTACCATTTGTTTTAAAGAAAATTACACACTCACCCACCTAATTATGTGGGCTTCTGAACTTTACCCATCAAACTAAATTTTATCACACATTACCTATATAAACATCCCAAGAGACTTACTAATTAGCCTATTCTCGATTGTCCACGATTATTTAATTGTACGATGGTCTTTTCCCTCATTGTTGACTAAATTCCCGCTTAGAAACTGTTTAGTTGATTTTAGCGGGATAGATTGATAACCGAGTTATTCGGACTTGGGTCGTTTTTAAAGGAAGACTATTCAGAACTTTGTCTATTAACTAATTGTTCAAAAGCACAGAAACGGAAAATAAGATCCTAAACATTCTAAGAAATTGATATAGGGGAATTTTTAAACCAATTTAGACTAAGGAATTGAAAATCAATTAACTAAAGATGCAAAATTTAATTAAAGACCTAAGATTTACTAAACCGGAGTGCTTAAAACTTAGTAAAAAGGTGAAAACTAGAGAAATGAACTACAACTAATGCACCTAGGAGCTAAAGTCGAAAGATTTACTATCCGTTCGCTGCGAGTGCTAAAGTGATAGGCTATCTCAGGTCGATATTTGCGCGGTCGCGAAGCACCGTTCGCTGCGAGTGTCGCGAACTGGGGCACAGGTTTCTCGCCCTCGACTTGCACGCTCGCGAGTCTCGTCTTGCTGCGAGTGTAGATGCTAGGTGCGGGCTCTCGGGCGCTCGCTCGCAGGGTCACGGGTGATGACTCGCAGCGAGCGCACGCTGCTCTCGCCCCTTCTCTACTCAGGTCGCACACTCGCAAAAGGATGCTCACAGCGAGTGTGTCGCTGGTCTCGGGCCTTCTTGCGCCGTGTTGTGCGTTCGCGAAAGGCTGCTCGCAGTGAGTGTGGCGCTGGTCTCGGGCCTTCTTGCGCCGGGTCGCGCCCTCGCAAAATAAATACTCTCAGGTATTCTCGCGCAGTTGCGGAGCTCGTCTCGCGGCTAGCGCAGGTGAAACTTCAAGGATGTCTCGCGCGCTCGCGAATCGGATCTCGCGGCGAGTATGGATGGATATCGACTCCTTCACTCGGGTGACTTCAATGGCTAGACAAAGGTTCGGACGGGTCTCGACATGGCTATCTCTTCCTCTCGATAGCTTGGATGGCTCGATCAAATGACACAAATAACTCACCTCGGAATGGCTCGAATGGTAACTTGGATGGCTTGTCTCGGAATGTCTAGAAATCGAGAATATGGACAATAGCTCGGACAATGGCTCGTCTTACCAAACTTGCATAAAGGACCTAATCAACACCAAAAGACGCAAGAAAATACGCCAGAATGCAAAAACACAAGACGAAACGAAAATACATAAAACACGACAAAATTGACCTGTTGAAATAAAAACAAACCTAAAAAGACTCAATTAAGGCACATAAAACACAAGAAAAACACTACAAAAACATAACAAACAGAAACATCAATTATGTTGGTAGGAGTTTGATGCATTGATCGGTACTATCAATGGTTTAAGTTTGGGGGTTTGTTCATGTGATTTTACACTATATTTATTTAGTATCTAGAGCTTATTCATTGTATTATTGGTGTATAAATTGTATTATTGTGCTTTAATTCGATATCTTGTTGGAAATGTATTACACGTGCGTTTTTTGTAGATATTTCTATATTTTCATAGAGCTTTTGGCTATTGGAGGCACATGATGAGTACCTAAGACCCTTGGGAGGATGAAAGATTGATGCAAAGATGAAAAAAATGGAAGAAACAAGTGAAACATGCAATAAGTAGTATGCAGATTTGTGACACGTGAAGTGTCACGGGCATTATGCCCGTGTCAGAGGCCGTGTCCCACCAACATTGAAATTTTGAAGCTTTACACGTGACACGGGCAAGATGGTCGTGTCGCGTGCGCAGACTGTTTTTTTATTTCTTATCTATTTTGAAAAGGAAAAGGCTTTAGGATGGTATAAAATAGCATAATTACCTTATTTTAAGAGGGAAAAATGTGAGAAACCAGAGAAGGGGCCATAAAACATACAAAATAAGTAATTGAGAAGCAAAAAGAAGATCCAACTACGAAGGAATAAATAAGATTCAAAGATCGGCGAGATTCCTAATTTTTCTTTCTTCTTTCTTTCGAACTTTTATTTATTATGTCAATTTCTAATATGTCTATGTATTTTAAAAACCTAATATCGAACTCATTTCTCGAATTATGAACAATATTGTCAAATATATAAAAGCATTGATCAAGTGTTAAACATGGAATAAGAACGGAATATTTGAGTAGGGTTCAAAAGAAAACAATCAATAATACATCCGAAATCCCAACATATTAATCTATTACCAAGTCCTAGATTCAAATAAATTAGCCACTAGGTTGTTGTGAGGATACTAGATCTTTTGGTATATTTGGAGTTGATTTGCATTTGTTGATATATGTGATTTAATCTACGATTTTATTGATCTCGAGAGGAATGATAAGCTATATTTGAGAGCATCTTATAGGGTAGCTAAATGAAACATTTGGTTGTGATATTTTTTAAGGAACCTAACTGTTAATTGAAACCATAGGGAGGGGCATGTAGGGGTACATGCCCTTNAGAGAGAGAGAGAGAGAGTAGCACATATACACTTGTATTATAAAAAGATACATTAAATTATTTATGCAGTAAACTGTTTATTTTTTTCAAATTTTGTATATAATTGACTCTTAATTAAATAAAAAGATGGCAACTCTTCTAAGAATGGAATATCACATTAATTCTTTTACAATTCCATCTTTGAGCAGATTTTTAATTTCTACTCAAATTGTGTTGTATCTATTAATAAATTGTATTTTAACTTTATGTAATTCTATACTGTATTTAAGAATTAAAAAAAATGTGATCTTTAGAGCTTTCACAACTTTGATGTAAAGTCAACTTAATTAAGATTTCTAAACTCTTATTATTGTTTTTGAACTCTTGTTATTGGTTTTGATACATATTGTATTTTAGGCGTTCTTAAAATATAATTATTTGTCATTGATTTTTCTACAAATGATTTTTAATTTTTGCAAAGAAATGTTATAAATAGAAGTCCACCAATGTTGACATTGAAAGAAATATGCAGTGCAAAAATAATGTTTATATTTATTAAATATTTATTTAATAAGATTAAAAATAATGTGATTATGGAGGATACAATATATGAGAACATATGAGAATGTTATCATTTTTATTTTTATATTCTTACTGTGTAAAAATTACGTTTATGTCCCTTTAGTTTCGCGAGTCTGCGTCCGTCCCTGAACTATAGTCTTAGAATCTATCATTCACATATATTTGTCTTACATGGTTTTCTAGCTAATTTTTTGTTCTTGATTGATTATCTTTTATATTAAGTATTATATTTTCTTAATTAGTTAATCTATCTAATATTCGATCGTCTAAATAAATTCGACATTATCATAGTCTAATACTTAATATATTGATTGTTTGGTCTCTTGAGATACAATCTTGCTTGTCACATACTACGAGCGAAGTACGTAGACTTACGATCGAGCTTTAAAAATATAGACAAAAAATATGTTGTCTAGCGGGAAAAGCAAAAAAATGAAAAAAAAAAAAAAACTAAACCATCATTTATTTCACAATGAACTATATAATAGCAATCCAAATATTCTTTTACCTTTTTTTGTCCAATATTTAAAGATATACACCTAGCAGTTTTATATTAATTTTCTGCGAGTCACGGTGGCTTCCACTGCATATTCCCATCAAGTAAGCTGAAGTATGCCCATAGATAAATTATTAAATCTGTTCGAATTAAAAAATGTTCGGTTTAAAGAACAATTTCACAATCAGGTTGAAAATATGAGAGAATTTTTGTTCTCATAGGAGGAAACAAGATGTTTTGTACAACCCAAACCCAGAAAAGTAAACAAATACAGGAGCTCTTTGGCTGTCCAAAATATAGGGACTCTACTCATTCTTTAGCAATGAATACTATTTTTTTTTTTTTTTTTNTTTTCCACTCATGGACATTAAGCCAGTTACTGTCAATCATTGAACAAGAACTCCATGCTACAAGTTGATAGAGTTGGACACAAATCAGAAAAATTGAAAAAACAAAATCGTAACGAACCCAATTTACACGATGTACAGTCTCCACGAGTTCTGTTTTTATTTTCTTTCCTCAACTATCACGAATCAAATTTGTGGGCTCGCTCAAGACATATTTCGGCAACTCATATTTAGCACCTGAGATAAGATTCCAGATTTTAAAAATAATTCTACAAGAAAATTGATTATAGAAAAAACATAGTAGTAGCCCACAAACCTCTCTCATCATAACAGATGGTCAAATCGGGATTCTGAACGATAACACCGGCACTGTCAACAATTGTCTGTGCAAGAGTCAAATCAGCCTCAGCAGCAGCCCGGAGAGCATCCCATATTTCTGGTGATAATTCAATGGTTGGAAAAAAATATTTTGAAAAAGAAGAAAAACAATATCCTTAGTTCAAAATTGCCAGAGTATTACAACAGTAGTCCCAGCACACGTCCGAAAAATTCAGAAAACATAAATACAACTAAAATTAACTTTTAAATTGTCATACAGTGTACTAAAACTATTATACTAATCTTATAGATAATTTAAATTGTCAACCCAGTATTGGAAAAATAAATCAATACTATATATACATATATGGCTTATTTACCAGTTACTGCAATATTCTTATTCAGCTTAATTTTACCGAGCTGCAGGTACAACAATGTACAAAGGCAATTATCTTGTGCATACCTTTCCTACCACCATAATGTGGGGCAGTGTCCCAAAACTCCTCACGCATCTGTGTTAGTTGTGCCCGAGTTATTGCTTCTGTATGCTTCCATGGCTTGGGCTTCCGGATCTTCTTAGGAGCTTCTGAGTTCAGATTAAAAGAAAAAAATAATAAAAAATCAAGGGCAAAATCAATGAGCCAGCAGCATCGAGCATTCTCTGTGAATTAGTTTAAATAAGCAACATATGTTTCAAGATATTCTCTAAGCAACCCAACCAAAGTCCTCATAATCATGATCTATCGCGAAATTTCATAGAATTAGTATAATTTGCGATAAGTTTCAGATTTCTGTATTGTTAAATCGAAAGTCCTGTAAGTAAACTTGAGTTCTGAGAGAATATCAAGGACTAGGTGCCCAGAAGAAATGCGAGCCAAGAATTATATGAATATCATGGACCATAACAGATTCGAGTATGAATTGGTTCAGAAGAAATCTCAAGTCAGGACCATTTTTCTCATTAAAAAATCAAAGAAAAAGGAAAGATGGTTCTCGGGAAACCATAAGCTATCAGTTTGAAAGTAGCATAGAATGCAAGTTTTTCTTCCATTCACGAAGATACATAATAAAAGGCCAAATAATTCCAAAATGAAAAGCTTGACTTAGAACAGAAATCATGGAAGATAATCAACTCACGGATATCAACTGATCTTTACCTACCACACCAAACCTATCTTGGCCTTTTATTCATTGATTATTAAAAGTTTCACATAACGATGGGGTAAAAGAAGTTGTGCTCAAAAAAAAAATATAAAAATAAAAAATAATTTCAAGAATTACATTCAAGTATTCAATATCTCAAGAAGAAGGGTAATTGCCAAAGACCAAATCCAACAAAAGTAGATTTCATTATCAAACAGAACAGATTAGCCAGAACATCAATTAATAGACAAAACCAGTTGCACGAGGTCATCTGAGACCTCATGTACATTTGGGAGTTCCATGTCCTGTTGAATTTATAAGTCTCCACATCTTTTGAGATGCTCAATCCACATACTTATACAAATAATCAATATTCCCTTTCGTTCTTACAGGCTAGTTCCATTTACTTTTCACAAAATGACGTCCCCAAAATTCAAACCAATCTCATAAAATCATGTCTATTAAACTGATACCAATCTTGATAGGCAATAATTTATCCTGGAAAATGCAAAACCAGTAATGTAAATGGTAAATACAACTAAAAATGAAAAGGAAATTCAACCCACATCATGCCTTTCCTTACTGCTATAAGGGTGAGCATTAGCTACAATCCATAGCTCATTTTACCATCAATTTGATATATAAATTCACCCAAACAACGAAAAGGAGTGGATTACAAACACCTCTACAGACATAAACAAAATCATTGCAAGGTACAAAATTCAGATGAAAACATATCAAACTATAATTCAACCGTCCCAGGTAAGGAAAAAAAAAGTGAGCCCTAAGATGAAATGCATAAGAACAATACCTTCATTAATTATTACTCGAACAAATTCAAGAGAAAAAAGCCCAAAAACGAAAGGGAAAATTTGTACCGTCTACTTTATCACGCGATCCAGCGCAACCCATACTGCGGCTTTCGCAGGATTTTCTCCGGTCAGAGATTCGGGGACCGGAGCTCGAAGACTCAAGTGAAAATTCGGAAACTCAAACTCAAACCGAAGAGTCCAATATATTTCAAGTTTCAACGATCTGTAGAATTAAATAATAAGAAAAAGGAAAATAACAGCTTAAAAATATTGGCCTTTATTTTTTTTTATTTTTTTATTTTTTTCGAAATGATAGGTTTTATAGCTCCAAATAAATTGTACAATACGAATAGTTCCAAATAAATGTGCAATACGGAGGGCTAAGGGGTAACTGTTTATGGATTGAACTAGTTTTTATTTGGTTTATTTTTTAAATATAGTTAATTTTAAAAAATGTAGTATGGTTAGTTGTTAGTAGATATATTAAAATGATATTTAAATAAATAATAAAATTCATTTGATGTAAAATAGGAGAAAAATGATTAGAAATGATAGTTAGTTAGAGTTATGTGAGTTGATGAATAGTGAATTAAAGTTGATGTGATATGTAAAATAATTGGTTGATATTATTTAATTATATTGATAATTTTTATGATAGTGGTGTTGAGTTAAAGTTTAGTTAAATTTGAGTTTTGATTGATTTTTTTACTATTCTATTCATATACAATCACCTCCTAAGTAGCCCAATAAACAACCACAAGGTTGAAAGAGAGGAACACAAAAGTGCCCTATAAACAAATAAAAACAACTGCCGATAAGTTCACATTCCTGGATAATGTTGAACTTAGAGTCCAAGGATGCTTTCCTACTAGCACGAGATACCCTGCAAAAGAACTAAACCATTGGACGAGGCCCTAGCCTAGTTCAGCTAACCAACAACAGTCCAACTACAAGAAAATAACACAGCAACACAAAACAATACAAAGCCACATAGACAAAAACACAGTCTGCCAAGCTAACTAAACTCAACACCGGCAAGAACAAGTAACCACATAACACTTCCAATAGCAACTACACCTTGCTAAACTCGAGCCACTCCTCTAGAGCTATATTTACCACTGCTTTCTCTGATCTCCATATACTTGGAAATACCCATAAATTCCTCGCTTTCCAAATCCACCATAGTAAGTAAGTTAGTTGAATCATGGCTTCATTATCTTCAGACTGAGGGATAGAGCTTAACTTGGTCCACCAGTAAGAGAAGTTGTTTGAAAGTTGCTCTAATCCATCCCATTTAACTGGAGCCAGTTCCCAAATCCTTGAGGCTTTGGGGCATGTGAAAAAAAGATGATGAAGTGTTTGATTGGCAGGATATTGTTCAGACACTTCCAAATGAAGTGTTTGATTTTCCCTTTGATTCTCAACTTCCAAAGTCTTCTCCTCATCTCGTTTGCCTCTGAGTGTCCTTTACTTGACTTTGTTATATCCAGATATTTCTATTTTTCACAAACCAAGTAGTCATAAGAAGCTGCTACTGAATGCTTCCCTTTTTTGTCACAGCGCCACACCAACCTGTCCTCTTCTTCAGGGTTGAGGCTTTTGATTTTCAGAATTGCTGCTTGTTCTTGTTAAGAGAAGATGTCCCGGAGAATCTCCATCTTCCAATGCCTTCATGATAGATCATTACATGAAGAATTAATAAAATCAATTCCGATGAATTGGATAATGATACTCTCATTTAAAATTGATTCAGTGTTTAATGAAAAAATGTGAAATTTTGATAATATTGGAAAATAATATGTTAATCTTCTTCTTTTTCGTAAACATAAGTTTCCATGATTTGGATTCTAGAAAATATAAAACTTGTAATAGATTTTATCTTTATCATTCATAGTATTCCATGAAATTATATTAAATTTGAATCGTTAACTTATTAATCATTGAGATTATTTAATTTGAATTTATATTTAATCGAAAAAGAAAATTCTTTTGTTTAGTATCTACGAAACTTTAATTTTAAAGTTGGAGTATTTATCTTTATTATAAGTGTCAAATTTCAGATTTGAAATACATTTTTGCTCTTAATTTCAAATACAATGTTAATATTATGAAAATTTGAGCATTACATAGCAGATTGTAATAGTTGTCTTGACTAGATTTGTTAACTATTTTAAGGTAATTGTTTGGTGAATAGAGGATTGTATAGTTGATTAGGAAGTTATATTGACAAGTTATTCTATACAATACATTTAGAGAATTTGACAGATTAAATCTCTAAATAAGGTCCAATAAGTTAATTTTACATAAAATCCGCTAACATAACACGT